TCTGTTCATGTCTTCTGCCCATTTCTTGATTGGATTATTTGTTCTTTGGGTGTTGAGTTTGATAAGTTCTTTATAGATTTTGGATACTAGCCCTTTCTAGGAAGGAGAAAGAAAGAAACTGAACCAGGCCAACATGTTGACACTTTGTCTCACCTGACAGCTTAAATAAACACACCAGTTCTAGCCTCTCCTCTTGTTGCCAATGCAACAACCACATGCACTTTGCACAAGTCTAGAAACAGAAGCCAGAGTTTCTGGCCATTGCTTAAACTTGTAACCTTTCCAAGCTTGGCCCAGGGCAGGTATCTATTGAGCAGACAGGATGGTGAAATTTCCCAAGGAAGCCCTTAGCTAGAACAACAAACAGGGCCACCCTAGAGGTTGGTTCCAGGTATAAATTCCCTGCTAGCATTGAGCTGCGGGCGGGGGTGGGGGAGCCCCAGCACTCTGCACTGCTCTGGGAAGGCTGGGTAAGGAAGAGCACAAAGGGGACCAAAGCTGTAGGCAGGTCCAACTTGGGCCAGAGGCCTTTTGGGATTTAAAGGACCGGAAGAGGGATAGAAAGGATTATGATATTGAGACCAACCGATTACTTAGACTGGTTCGGGGATCTACACTTGGGCAGGCTTGGAAATTCGGCTTTATCAAAGAACATGTACTGATTTGGGCCATTATCAATCTTCTGGATGTTGTCCATTTGCCTTTCAGTCTCCACCCCTTCTTACCCTGTTCTGCACTCCCGCAGGCTGGCAGTGTGAACCAATTCCACAGAATCCTCGATCCTCTGGCTTTGGGTTGACTTTGACCAATTGGAGGTCCTGGCAGGAGATCACTGTATAGCAAAGAAAGGCAGTCAGGGAGGCTATTTCTCCAGTGTCCCACCTTCCAGGTGGCTGTGGGTTAGCCATGTTGCTCTGCTGAAGGCCCAGCTTGTTTGGGCCACGCTCCTCCCTACAGCACCCCTCCCTGGGTTCCAGAAACGGTTTTTTCTTGTCCCTTCAAGAGGACAAGAGGAGGCCTAAGAGTTTCCTCCTATTATTAATGCAGAACACTGCCCTCCCTATTCCTTGCAGATTTTCCACACCTCGTAAATCGCCGCATATCAAACTCTCCTTAAAATATCTCATCTCATGTGCGACTCAGAACACTTGTGAGATTCAATCAACCTGACATTCAATCAACATCCGTCAACTGACAGCATGGAAATGAAGATGAGAATAACTGTCCCTGAGGTAAGTTTATATGCTCCCTATGATTTTATCCTCTAACTTTATTAGTTTGGATGGTTGCAAAGACAACTTTCAAAAGCTCTTAATTTTATCCTGTGTGTGATGCCTCAAATTTGAATAAGCTGCCTGCAGATGGATGGTTGTACTGGGTAATAATCTTGTTAAGTATTCGCTTGCTTTTTTTTTACTCAATTGTGTGAGAATATAAAACTAAACTGTATTAGAACAGTAAGATATTGGGGCACCTGGGTGGCTCAGTTGTTAGGCGTTTGACTTTGGCTTGGGTCATAATCCTGGGGTCCTGGGATTGAGCCCCGCTTCAGGCTCCCTGCTCAGTGGGGAGCCTGCTTCTCCCTCTCCCTCTTCTCCCTCTTCTCAGTGTTCTGCCCCTCCCCCCACTTGTGTGCACACGCTTTCTTTCTCTCTCTCACTCTCTCCAATAAATAAGTAAAATCTTTAAAAAAAGTAAGATATTAAGAATGAGTACAGATTTTAAAGGCAGGCAGCTAGGGATTTGAATCTACCACCTATTGGCTGTGTGTCCTTTGGAAAGCTACTTAATTTCTCTTAGTCTTGTTTTCATTCATTAAATAGTCAAAATAACTGTACCTACTCCTTATGGTTGTTGTGAAGGGTAAATGAAATAATATACATAAAATATGGGTACAGTGAGCACTTAAAAATGGCAGAAATTATTACCATTATTAAAATGTTGTTAAAATAATGATGTACTTGAAAGTCATTTATCTCGACAGGTTTTTATGAAGGTTAAGTGAGCTAATATCTTTAACGTGCTTAGAATAGTTCCTGGCACATATCTAAAAGCTATATGAGTGTCAATTAATAGTTAAATAATATTTAAGTGTAAACACCTAGGTATAATTTGATTCCTTTCTCTCTGCCTTTTAATTATTCTCTGTCTCCTCTCAAACTACTTTTGGCTTTCTCTCCAGGCTTAAATAGAAAAGAACCTTCTAACTTTATCCTGAAATTTCTCTTGGAGTCAAAAATCTTCCCGAGCACATGCATACTTGTTTCAAGTTCTGATTTTTAAGGCTCGGGTCAGTTTAGGGTCAAAAGTGATTTCAAACAAGCGTTTTTGAATATTTAATTCCTCACACTCCTGAATGAGATTTTAGCTCTTTTCAACAGGGATGGGGAAAGGGGGCGGGTAGGTTTCCTATGACTCCCTCCTGGGGTTTAATCTGCTGGAGCAGCTCACAGAACTCAGAAAAACAATTTACTTGTAGATTTCTTACAAAGGCTATTAAAGGATACAAATGAAGAGCCAGATGAAGAGATACATAGGGTAAGGTCTGGAAGACTTCTGGGCACAGGAGTTTCTGTCCCGGTGGAGTATGGGATGTACCACTATCCAGAACACTGATGAGTTCTTGTGCACCAACCCAGAAGCCCTCCAAACCCCATCCTTTTGGGTATTAATGGAGGCTTCCTTACATAGGCAAGACTGATTAAATCATTAGCCATTGGTGATTCAACCTCCCCCCTTCTCCCCTCCCCCGGAGGTCAGGGGGTTGAGGCTGAAAGTTCCAAGCCTCTAATCACTATGGTTCCTTCTCCTGGCAACCAGCCCAAATCCTTAGAGGCTTTCCCAGCTCACCTCATTAACATAAACTCAGGTATGGTTTAAAGCTCTTTAGGAAGAAAAAAATACACCTTTGCCTCTCTTATGACTTACGAAATTCCAAGGGTTTTAGGAGCTCTATATGCCAGAAACGAGGATGAAGACCAAATACATGTTTTTTTATTTTAAAGCATAATATTACATTTCTATAACCAAGAAGGCCAAGAGGTGACCTGAGTTCAAACCCAGCTGGATCCAGCGGGTTCAAATGACAACATAAGGACTGTGCTTTTCACCACCTCTTAGTTCTACAGGCAGCTAGTTCTGTTGGCTCCAGACAGATTTTCTCCAGGTGACAGCGAAGATGATCACTGGTTATTCCTGGTGTCTATCATCCTTAGAGGTAAAGAGAAAAGAGAGAACCTTCTCTCCCTAGCATATCATTCAGTCCGTATCAATTCCTAAAGAGGACCCTGGTGAGGGCACACGTCCATCTGTCTGCAACCAGGACAGTGAGCATTCTGATGGTTCAGCTGGAGGCAGGGGTCCCGAATAGTCACATGGTATGGGGAAAGGGCCTTTCTCAGAAGGAAGGCTTGGCGAGCAGCATAGCCCCATAGTTCCATTTGGCTGGAACATTCTTCTAAACTCTCCAATGCAAAGCTGTTTGAATACCCATGGAGTTAGATGTACATTCTGTTTTGGGAAAAGGAGCACTGTGGGTTTGATGATATCGAGGACAGGTCAGAGGTCATCCTCTCCGCCCAGACCCTCTTTGTACTTCATGGTGGACCACTGGTTGATGATGATAATCTACCTAGCAATTTCAATCTCAATATAAAAAAAAATGGAAGGGTCACTCCGTTGCACCATCTCCCCAATTTACCCTCCTGCCTCCCCAGATAGTAGCTAAAGACACACCTGTGAGACAGAAAAGGAAAATATCTCAGCACAGATTAGGTCATGAACAACAGACATGTCTATTCTTTTATACTCTCAGTTCCCCAATCTGTTTTTTTTCTTTCCATTGGGGTAGAGCCAAAAAGACAGAATGAAAAGACACCCCCAATATATATTCATCATTCCTCTATGACAACCCCATGATGTCTCCTTTTTCTTCAGTGAGGGGGTTTTTCTGACTGCTGGCTTTTATAATTCATCCAGTAGGTAGTTTCAATTTGATGATCAATTTTTTAAAAATAACTTTTTTGGCCCCCTGACATTTCAGCCATTTAAATAGAACATAATAGAGTTTTCCAAAGAAATAAATGGTGATTTCTTTATATAGCTTCTCACATTCAAACACATTTGCATGCATGGTCCACCTGAAAAGCTACAACTAACGATCTTACACATGAGATTCTCATTTTCCTCTTCCCGGTATCCCTGCCCTCCTCGTATCAATACTCTTTCAAAACCTCATATTAAATTCTTCCCTCCAGGAAGCCTTCCTTGATTAATCAATCACTCCCAGTGATTGGAGATACAGTTCCAATTAGGTTCACCTTCTCTTGTTCATATACGGATTCAAAGTTTCAAGAGTCTTAAGTTGTGAGTATATATACGTGCCACTTTTCCAAGCAGGCAACAACTGTGTCCTATAACCATCCCCTTATCCACAAGATTGCTTGAAGCAAAGACAATGGAGGAACTTATTTACTGGTATAGTGAAAGATCCTGGGCCCTGCAAAATGCCTGAGCTGAGGTGAAGATCCAGCTCTGTTATTTACCAACTGTACAGGGAAAAAGATCAATACGTAAAAGCTTAATTTTCTTACATGAAAAAGTGATAATAAAGTCTTGAGGATTTGTGTGATAATGAAATAGGTTATATATTCAAAAACTTTTAAGGATGCTTGTGGATCCTTCAAAAAGTATTTGTTTCCTTAGTGATGTGATTGATGGAACTACTGAGTCTGTGAAATAACTTTCACATTTGTTGTTGATGTTTGAAAATCTTTTCCAGAAGACAAAATCCCTTATGCCAAATTAGAAATAAGAAGAAAATGTCAAATGATCTTGGAGCAAGGAGCAATAAACTTAAATATGTGCTTAATACATGGCCATGCATTCCATCTCTGCTCTTTCCCTCACAGGATTGCACATCATGAACTGGTCAAAGTAAAATGTCCCACTCAGCCTGTGGCACACCTCAGAGTCCCCAACACAGGACTCCTGACAGACATTAGCAATTGATTGGAGTGTGTCCACTCATGCTAACACGTACATCATTGATACCAGCTACGTTCAGAAGGGCAGGATTTGATTTGAGGAAGAGAATAAGGAACAAGCATTGCTCGATGTAGAGGTAAGAAAGGGCACCAGGGGAGAAAAAGGTACAAGTTCTCTGGCCAGATAGAGTTTCTAAAATGTTACTACTGGGGCCCCTGGGTGGCTTAGTCGTTAAGAGTCTGCCTTCGGCTCGGGTCATGATCCCAGCGTGCTGGGATAAAATCTTAAAGATTTTATTTATTTATTTGACAGAGAGAGACACAGTGAGAGAGGGAACGCAGGCAGGGGGAGTGGGAGAGGGAGAAGCAGGCTTCCCGCGGAGCAGGGAGCCTGATGCGGGGCTCGATCCCAGCACCCTGGGATCATGACCCGAGCCGAAGGCAGACTCTTAACGACTAAGCCACCCAGGCGACCCATAAATAAATAAAATCTTAAAAAAAAATGTTACTATTATCCAGAGAGGTATTCCTCAGGGCCCAGTTGAAAGGATTGCCCCATGGACTATTAAATAAACTAATGATTAATTGTGAAGTACTTGAAGTAACAGGACAGTAGGATAGGGAATAGCACGAGGAGACCTACCAGTGTGTGGAATGCACCTCTAAGGAGGTGACATTTGGACTGACATCTAAAGAATAATCTTTATGGACCAGCTATTCAAAGAAGAGCATGAAGAAGTAAATGGGAAGGTTGCAGGCAAGAATAAACTTGGGCTTCTCAAAAGGTTGTAGGAAACCAGCAGGGCGGGAGAAAAGTGGACTGGGCGGGGGGGATGGGAATGGGTGACAAAGGATGAATTTAAATGGCTGGCAGGGCCAGATCACACAGAATTCTGGGACCTATAATGGGAAATTTGGATAGACATTCAAGGGCTTCTAGGTTAGTTACATGATCTTAGATAATTTTTAAACACCATCTCTGGTTACTGTGGGCAAATTGGGTGGGGGTGGAGGTGGGGATGGGTTAGGAATTCAATAGGAGACACATATTGGGAGGTTCAGTGAAAGAGGATAGTGGTTTAGTCTGAGCAACATGTGTTCTGAAGTTAAACTGTAGGACTTGCTGATACACCCAGCCCGGGGGACCAGGAGAAGAGAGGAACCATGACTCCTGGTTTCTGGACGGTAGTGCCATTTATCCAGATGAGGGCTAACAGGAGGAGAAACATTGAGGGTAGGGGTGATTTTCTTGGGGAACAGGTTCATGTATCATTCAGTGGCCAGTTTCTCTTATCCAGTGCAAATTCTGGGCTTGGAACTAAGGGGGAAAAAAATCTTAAGATCAAGAACAAGAGGGAATGTATGCTTGTATTTGGGCCATTCCTTCATTCATCTATTCAACAGATATATATTGGGCACCCATCATGTGCCAGACCCTCTTCTAGGTTTGGGGATTACCAAAACTCTTTCTGTCATGGAATTTATGTTCTACTAGTGGGAAGAGGGGGCATATGTGCACAAAAATAAGTATAAAATATACTAAGTGGTGTAAGTGGTGATGAGTGCTACGAATAGAAGGAAGTAATGTAAAGGATAAAAAATTAAGCATGTGTGTGTAAGGGACATGGTTGTAGAGGTGCTTGGGTGGCTTATTCAGTTGGGTGTCCAAGTCTTGATTTCGGCTCAGGTCATGAGATCGGGGTCCTGGGATCCAACCTCCCGTCGGGCTCTGTGCTAAGCACAGAGTCTGCTAGTTCCTCTCCCTCTGCTCCTCCCCCTGCTCTTGCACTCTCTTTCTCTCCCCCCTCTCTCTCTCTCCAATAAATAAATAAATAAAATCTTTTTTAAAAAAGAGGAATGGTTGTAATTTTTTTTTTTTTTTTTTTTTAGAGAGAGATTGCACAAGCACGTGTAAGCGGGGTGGGGCAGGGGGAAGGGCAGAGGAAGAGAGAATTTTAAGCAGGGACCATGCTCAGTGTGGAGCCTGATACAAGCTCGATCTCATGACTCTGAGATCATGACTTGAGCTGAAATCAAGAGCCCGACGCTCAACCAACTGAGCTACCCAGGGGCCCATGGTTTGGTATTTTATATCTGATAGTCAGCAGAGCCTCTCTGATAAGGTGACATTTAATTGGAAAAGGGAAGAAGGCAAGAAAGCAGGCTACATGGCTATCTGGGGGTGTTCCAGGTAAGGGAACATAAGTGCAAAGGTCCTGCTTGCTTGTGTTCCAGGAGCTGCGAGACAGCTTGTCTGGCTGGTGCAGGTCACAGAGGGCCAGTGCAGGGGAAATAGAGATCAGAGAGGTAATGGGGCCAGTCCTTATTCGCCTTATAGGATAATTGTGAGAAATTTGACTGTAAGATGAGGAGCCACTGATTTTACTGAGGACCCACCAAAGATTCTCATTTGCATTCCCTGTTCTTATAATAAATGAGGAAACATTTTATCCCTGGCAAATTTATGGTGAAGGATAAAAAACAGATGAAGAATGTAGACAGGAGTGTGTATGTGCCTACTAGCAAAAATTGCCTAAGCCAAAAAGATACAACATATGTCTTACTCAAGCCATTTCATCACTGAGCAACTTGGGATACAATCCTGAAGCGGCAAATTCTGCTACAAGAGGTGTGATTTAGGGAAAACAGCAAAGTGCCATTTTTCTCTCTCAAGATTTCTCTACTGCCAAAAATCTTATCCAACCATCCATCCAACCAACCAACCAACCAACCAACCAACCAACCAACCAACCAAACTTTATTGATCTTCTACATGTACAGCAGAGGACTAGGTAGTATAAATAGCTACAGATGGATAAGATTCTCCTATTCTGTGTTTTCTTAGATTCTATTTGGTCTCCGTTAATTATAGGGTCAAACCAATAGCCACAATTGTTTACATCTCCCCTGTGATCCGGCTTAAGTAGACACATAAAAACCATATTACAAACTCTCCAACCAATCCTCAGGCCATACTCCCAACCACCTCCTTAATCTAACTCACACATCAAGCCAATATTTCCCTTGGGCCAGGTGCCAGACAACCAGAGACAGTCCCTATGCCCCAAAGCTCACTGGAATTATTCAAACTAGTCACTCCTCAGCTGTTTACACTGTCCTATCATATCTTTACCACAAAAACCCCAATAAAGGCTGTGGTCTATAGTTTCCCCTCGCTCCTGCTTCTCCCTCCTGACCTAACCTGGTGCTTCTCCACGTGGACCTGTGTGGCATGGCGTGACCCCCTTCCCTCAGGAGTTGTAAGTAATAAAACATCTTTCAATGGCATTAACCTCTCCTTATTGTCACTCAATCACCTTTGTAAAATGAAGACCCAATTGCAAACCATCTACCCAAAACAATTCCCCTCTCCCTCTTTCTCGGAGTTAAAAATCTTCCCGGGGCGCCTGGGTGGCTTAGTCGGTTAAGCATCTGCCTTCCGTTCAGGTCATGATCCCAGGGTCCTGGGATTGAGCCCCACATTGGGCTCCCTGCTCAGCGGGGAACCTGCTTCTCGCTCTCCCTCTGCTCCTCCCCTTGCTTGTGTGCTCTCTCTGTCAAATAAATAAGTAAATAAATGATCTTTAAAAAAAAATCTCCTTCCCTTTGTTCCTTACCTCTAATTTTATCTTTGTCATGACTGAGATATGGTTTCTTTTTTTTTTTTTTTTAAGATTTTATTTATTTATCCGACAAAGAGAGACACAGTGAGAGAGGGAACACAAGCAGGGGGGAGTGGGAGAGGGAGAAGCAGGCTTCCCGCCGAGCAGGGAGCCCGATGTGGGGCTCGATCCCAGGACTCCGGGATCGTGACCTGAGCTGAAGGCAGACACTTAACAACTGAGCCACCCATGCACCCCTGAGATATGGTTTCTTTGCTCATGCAGGCTAATCCATGATTTTCAGGCATTATGAGCCCTGAAAAATGGATGTGGAGCAGTTCTTGGTAGAACTATTTGCCTTTCTTGAAGATCACCGCGCCTTGACACCACCCCTTGTAGACTGCAGTTTTCCTCCGGCCCTGCTTCCATTCTCCTCACTCCGGATAGTCCTTGACAAAAAATCTGGAATATCTTCAGGCCACTGTTCAGTCTTAGAGATACATTTCCATTCTATTTAGTGCCTCGGAGAAGTCATCATGGTTAATATCTGCACTTTAATGCTCCCTCCTGAGCTATGGTTCATCCAGCTAAGTCATGCTTTAGTGATAATTAGGGAAGAGGTGACCGACATGGGGATTAGATTCATGGCTTAGTTTGTCTGGGAGATATATATATTTTTTACTGCTAATTTATATGACAAATCTGGGAGGCACTCTTGGCTAGCATAATTTATTTTACTGGCGTGAGAGGTTGTGTTTTTCTAATTCTTCAGCTGAGCTTGCTGACCTGTATAAAGTCAGCAAAATCCAGTAATATTGTTCAAGCATCCTTGTAGAATCTATGCTAAATACTAGCAATTGAGTTCAAGTAGATACAGTTTGGTGTCCTTTGACTATTCATATTGCAAAGCTGACACAAACATGAAACAGTTTAATATAATACCACAGAATATGCTCCCGTGTTGTAATGATTTATTCACAGTTGCTTCCTAGCTAAAGTTTTAGCAACTAAGCACTGAGCGCCCCCCTCCCACCAGACCTGCTGAAATACACTAGAATTGCCTGGTTCTCACTCAATAATGGTGAGAACATTCAGTGCCAAGTTCCCAAGTCTTAGGCTTGGTCCTCCAAATGCTTTTACCCTGGACTTCCCTCCTCAGTGACTGGTAGCTTGGTGTTTTGTTTCGATATTAGGTTTCAACTGGCTAGAATGTGTTAAGTAACTTCCTTCTCCACAATGTACTTTAACTGAACCTCTTCTTCTTCAGATATACGGTAAGAGGCCCCTCAGGACATGGAAAGGCCATCTGGTCTTGTGGCACATAGCTGTATGCATCTCTCCATCCCTCAGGAGAGCTGTACCCACAGTCCGAGCCCTTCCGTCTTTCCATAATGCCAGTTGGAGCAGATCTTAACAACTTGATCCTGTGTTTTTATAGGTCAATTAGCATTTATCTGAGTAATTAACAAGCCCAGTTCCCCACTGTGCTAAACCTCTCAAAATCATACAAAACTGGACCTGTAAATCCTTAATCCCACTTCCCCACCCTGGCACGGAGCTTGGTGTCAAGCCATTTTGTGTGGGTTTATCCTTCAGAGTGCAATAGGAAAATC